GCTGCAATCGCCTATAGTGTGCCCGTGTCTGCGATTGAGCCGACCGATTGTACAATTCATCAGCCAATCAAATCACAATTAGTTGTCACGTGATTTAAAATCAACCATTTACAGCTTTTGCCATCTTCAGCCATTTACAATCAAGTGACTATCAATCTAGGTGGCGCGAGATGAAGCGTGCTGAAAATCCACAGAGTCGCCCGGCTTAGCCGCGTAGTGTGTCCGCAAAGCTCCAGACTCAGCCGGCCGGCTAAATCGCCGACCGGCTCGACCGCATGAAAAATCGGCTAGTGTGTCCACCCCTACCGTGCCTCCATAGTGCATGATGGAAGAGTAGTCGTATGGCACGCTAAAGTTGTCTTCCTGACTCTCGTCTCTGATCAGAAAGTTACCGGCGTACTGAGTTTCGTAGTTGTCACTAAGGATGTTTACGTGGTCATCTCTGTCGCTGCGGGAGTGCTCGTGCCAGAAGCCGAGAGCGTGCCCTACCTCGTGCGCGATCACGCCCATCTGATTAGAAAACGACTGTTAATATAATTACACGTGCGTACGCACGCACGCACGCACACTCACACGCACACACACACACGCACGCACGCACGCACGTACGCGCGCACGTACGCGCGCACGCACGCACACATCACATAGCATTACATGTATATCATATAGATTGCTTGTGATCGATGTACGTGTAATTAATATAACTACGATGTAAATAGTTTCGTTTTCGTTTTCGTTGTTTTTAAGGTAATTAGTTATTCTATTAATTTCATAACTAGGTCAATAAGTGTCGTCTTCTTCACTCCCACGTAACCCAGTATAAGTAATCTTAAACATTACTCGTGAAAACGTCAGCAGCGGTCGCTGTATTCGCGAACTATAATATGCTGTTATATTCTTATAATATTATAGTGGACACCAGCTGGCGCGAGCAACGCGAAAGCCACGAAACAGACCCACCTAGGAAGCATACGTGCTACATATTTAACTAGAACAATTCTACGATATGTGTTTAACTCTAATCCAAATGCTAAGCATAATCTTAAAATCAAATAAAACGAACTATCAACAGCATTCAATGTAAAACGCGAATCACTACGAATAATGCACCACCACCGCCATCTAGTGGTGCTCTTAACTAATAACGGCCCAAGCGGAGCGCTCGAAAGAATACTTGCATCTAGACACGACGAATTGAGCGAGATGAAGTTTGGTCCGACGCGTCGGCCGACGTGCGATGCGCAGCCGTCATCCTGGTACATGATGAGAAACGACTCGTCGGGCGGCGTGTCCACGTGCTCCTCGAATCGTAAACATGTCTCCGCCTCCCAGTGCTGCAGGGCGGACTTGATCAGACTCTTCTCATACTCCGCTACAAACACGCGCATTCGCAGGTGATCGACTCGTCGTGTTTATTTCTGACTAATTAAGTTTGGCCACAACGAGTGGAGTGAATATGCAAACGCTCGAAATTTAGCGCCCACGCGTGGCTAGCGCGTGCGTAATTATTATTGTATTAATATAACTATGTATGAT